GGTGACATACTAATACCTATACCTGTTTAGCGATTTTTGCATGTATTTAGAACTTGAAAAATGTCCAAATACCCCCCTAAACTTTATATGGTAGTCCGTCTAGCATCCTGAACTTTAAAACCGGATATCCAACACCCTAAACTTTACCATACCATCCATATTACCCCATAAGATGGTTTTGGATGATAGTTTTGCATATTTTGGAAGCTTAAACAAATAATTTTTTCTAACTAATATAACATATTTGGATATCATCAGTTATAAGTTATCAATTTATTTTTATACAGTAGTGTCATACTATTATTATGTTGTAAGTGAGAGCTAATAAGGAGTAAACAGAAAGATTTAAGTCAAAATTTTAATATATATGTCCAAAGCATATGACATGTGATCAAACTCATCCAACTTATATAAACGGTATTATAAAGTTTAGGGGGTTGAATGTCCTATTTTAAAGTTTAGAGTGCTTTACGGACTTCCATCCAAAGTTTAGAGGGTAATTTGGACTTTTTCCTTAGAACTTATATGTCAGGTTTTCACTTATTCGATGGTTTTCATCATCTATTCCCCGCTTTAACACATGCATGGCTCATATTTTTCTCCCGCACACGTAGAATTATTTCAAATTTATATTTGAAATTAACGTATTTGCATATAATGTCTATTTTGTTATTGTTGATATATTATGTACGAAAGAAATAAAATGCATCCATGCATGTATCGAAAAGATCAGCATTTGTCACTTGTGACAAGCGTGTACTTTGTGCTAGTACAGATCGAGTATCATTATTGGACTTATATCTAAAATTAATGCATATTATCATGACATTCACTTTGTGCTTGTTGATACATTATACACGCATGAAAAGAAACTAGCGATTAATGTACAAACGTTGAAGAAAATATCAAAATATGGTGTTTACAGTAAAACTGTGATCTTCAGTCCTCACAATAATATAAAAATTCATCACCCATAAATCTGCCAGTAGACCCACATAGAAATGTGCTACGATCTTGGGATGCCACCACACCCCGCTGGGCCATCAGATTTCCACCGTAGCTGCTTAAGTGAGTACATTTCTCACCACTGGTGGCAATTGAATATCTAGGAACATATGAGGTCTACAGCGGTTGCTGGTAGGCTGGAATGCCACACTTTTGTGGTACAATTGCACTTTTGAGGATGCATATATGTTTTTTTTTTTGAAAAGCTTAGACGTCAAGAGCATTGCTGGATATATTGGAAGGGAATGATTGGTTTAAGTACAAGAACAAGGCAGATCTCTGGTGAGAGCCTTGAAACATCTAGGACCACCTAAAAAGGAAGCCAGACAAGAACAAATTACAAAAGGTCTATATTTTCCTTTATCAAGAAAGCTACTTGGGTCGCTGATTGCGATCTTTGCTGGAAAATCCATCGGTTTCGCTCCAGCCAAACATGCCACCAAGTGGTTAACAGGGTTCCTATGATTTTCTTCTTTTCACTTTTAGGCCCAATATGTTCCATCTCCACTAAAAATAGAATCCCAAAAATTAGTTAGTAACCACGTATGATTGGATGGGCCCATGGTTGGTACCGATTTTTTTTTTAAGAAGCGCGTGGATCAGATCAGATCAGATCACTCCCCTGCTGTGCTGCCATTTCTAAATGCCGCGAGCTCCTGCCACTGTCACATAAACCCACCGGCCACGGTGGTATTGACGAATGATTTCACATCTAATGTGGAGAAATAGAAGGCCCAGTTGATCCTCTACACGGCCGTGTCATGAATCTGTAGGTTAATATCGTAGGCAACATGTTAGGATGCTCTTGTTTCGATCCGTCGCACCCGATGAAGGGCAGTTGGTGCTATGGATGGAGGGAAGGCGGCACGGGAGACGGGCAGATGGCGGGGATGGAGGATTGGTGCTGATCCCATGGAAAACCATAACCGAAACCGACGAAGTTAATACGGCAGCTTGGGTGCAGCGTTGTGCTCTAGTTAGCACGAGAAAGAAGACTGCGCGAGAAGGGGTAAAAGGAAGTGGGCAAAAAAAAAAAGGCCCAAATCCTAAATGGGATTGGCCTTGATTTTAGGTGTAGGTAAATTTTGGGACCATGATTGAAAGTCTATTGGAGGCCTAATGTTAACCAAAGTCTCAAAATTTAGTCTTCAGTAACATATTTGGGCCTTTCTTGGAGATGCTCTAAAGTTCCTCTAAAATCATTCTAAAGATATGCTCTAAAGTTCCTCTAAAATCATTCTAAAGATATACTCCCTCCGTCCCTAAATATTTGACGCCATTGATTACATAGGACCACATAAGAGCTGCAAGTAGTCAATGTGTCATCTTTTGCTGAGCTGGCAGCTTGCATAACAATAGGTCATTTCGATGTAGACGTTCTGGTTAAGAATATCATCTTATTGAATCCTATTTACAAGATGGCAGTCGGGCTAAATAAGAAAATAAGAAAAAAAAATCAACGATCAAGAAAGAGAAGACTCTAAATATATTACGTTTAGCTGTCAACTGAGGCTGAGCCACTGCGTCGATAGATTCACTCCAAAACTGCTCGTTAGCCACTGCAGTCTGCAGCATACAGCAGCCGCCGTGGAAGCTGAACAAGAGTTATCGCGGCACACTAGTATTCTGCTATGCTACTGCCTACTGGCTTCTATGCAGCCACGATCACAGGATGTAGCTTTAGACAGACCCTTCGTTAGTTGCTTTTGTGAGTATGTGACTACTCGAGCTTAAACATCAGGGTAGCAGATCATTGAAGAGATCTAGCAAGATGCCTATCCATTTCTAGTCGTCCCAATACTTCACATGCCTATGTTTTTTTTTTTTTTGGATCAACATGGAGAACTGGTCAGAGACAAGTTCCAATATGGGGGATATGTCTTATAGGTAACTTTCTCATCTGAATTACTGAAATTAGCGAGCATGGTTGTTTTTATAGATGAATGGACTGCTTCTATACATTTATAGTAGATGAAACTATTTATTGTTTCACATACCCCTCCGACTTATTAAAATTTTGACCGGTAAATACACAAGTGATTAATTAGTCGTTAACTTTCTGCCAACTTGGAATGATGGAATGGTTTGCACCTCTCTTTTCTCTGGTCTTGCTTTTGGATAGGCAGATATCTCTACTATTAAAAAAATTAAAGATGTTATTGCCGGTACTTTGGTACGTCATTTGTGTATGAGTCGGTTTTCAAATTCGTTAACTTTTGGAAATACATATCCGTATTTGAGACGTTTATTAAGTCCGTTTACATTTGGAAATACAGAAGAAGAGCCGTATAAGAAATCCCTTTAAAAAACTCGAATGCTAACTTAAGATGATCGGACTCTAACTGCAGCTCATGACTTTAAGCGAATTCTCATGGTGAATTTCACCTTAATTAAACCGTATAATAATAATAAGATTAAAATAGCCTTCACCCGTCGCAACGCACATGCATTTTTTCTAGTCTATATATATGTCTAATCCTTTTAGGAATGGAAAAGAGATTGAACTAAAATCCAAACCAATCCAAGGTGATCCTTTGAATCATAAATACAGATTTTTAACCCTTGAAGATGAAGTGTAGATTTATGGCCAGTAACCAGTCAACGACATTATTGCTTCATTCTATCTCTGACAACATGGTAACTGTTCAAACAGGAGTTAATTAATGATTTGTTAATTTACAGAAAATTAACTCAGTCACAACGTGAAACCATGACAATTGGAAAACACAAATTTAGTATATAGCATGTGTACAATAGGGCAAATTCAAATTAAATGACATTTCTCAACTCAATGATATTGGCAATTCTACTGAAGAGATGTGTTTCCCAATAATTCAGATAGCTTCCTCTTGAGGGAGCACCAATGCTAGTGTGCTTGATGTAGGTGGTTAACTGATAGCCTCATCATTGCTGATTCGAGGAATAAGTAAAATAACATATTTGCAAATGAAAAATAGTCTATGAATAAAACTTTTATATACGTGTTCTTAACGATCTAAAAACAAACGCTGAAAAATAAACCACAATAAAAAAAAATCCCAAAATCAACTCTAAATTTATGATTGAAAATTTAAATTTTGGCTAATAAGTATAGGCATAAGCAAAAACATGAGGCCGTTTGTCAGTCTTGTTCACAAAAGGGTGTGATCACTAGCAAAGGCACATGCTCCGTCATCGTCATACGGTCCATTTTGCTGATAAAAATGGAAGACATGATTTCCACTGATTTGATCTACAGAAATAGAAAGTAGTACAAATATTTGTTGCCATTAAGCAGAACTTCTCCCACTGTTCAAATCTGAGATCAGCAAGAGGGGCAGAGGAGCAGGGGAATGTGTCCTCTGGTCTACCCAAGAACAGAGCAGGAGCCAGCGTGAGATTTCCCCTGCACCAGAAAGACCAATAGAAAAAAAAAATTCAGCAAAACAACCAAACAAACTTCACAGTCATGTCGCCAATTATTTCTTGGGAGGAATCGTGTGATACTCGGATAGAGCTTTTCCTACTTTCATAGTGTTAATATTTACACTGGAAACTAGAACCAAGTTGATTCTCCAATGATCCAATTAACGAGAGTTCTAGGGTAAGTTGTGTACAGATCGAGCAGCTGAACTCAGATGGCAAAATAGACGCACCGAATTACTAGCTAGGTGTGTGCTTCCTGATTCTAATTGGTGATTGCTCTTTCGGCACAAAAAATGGGATGGCAACCTGATTGGGTATCTAGGCTGTATGATCATACTAGGCTTTCAAGAAACTAACTTGACTAAGACTAATGAATTCGTATATATTCAAAGTTTTCTGCTTTTTCTGTCATCACCATTGTTTATTGCATAAAGTTTCCGTGTGCCTCTGAATAAGTACAGTGGCATACCTTAATTTAGCTAGAATAGTTCACAGTACACAAAATTATTGATATTATATTCGTGTGCCGTTCCATAGAAAATCACTCCTATGCAATTGTTGCATGGGCCATCAAAATTTTGTGATCAATGCCTTTGGAATAGACTGCATAACAGCATGGGAGAACCTTAACAGCTGCATTGCCCCCATGTTAAAATTGTAGTGTGTACAAGTGTAACTACAAAATCGTAATCATAGTTTATTTGGATTCATAAAGAGAATCTTCACTACAACAACTGGAAAGATGAGTACCAGCACAATTTTACTAGTTTCAGGAGGTGAACTTCAGTAGTATCCATCCATTTCCTCAGTTGATCAGTGCATAATATTTTTCTTTGATGGAAATGATATCATAGTAAACATCATCCATTGTCGGTCGATCTTTTGGTGATGTCTCTGTGCACATTAGCCCAAGCTTGGCCATTTGTATGGCGCATGTTAGTATTTCAGGCACAACATGATTTGGGTCTTCACCTTCACAATATTCGGTGATAGTAGGATCTAAAATGTCACTGATTTGATCCGGAAATGCCGACTCCACAAAGTTGTGAAGGTCCATTCCATCTTGAAAGATTTCATCAGTTGGTTGCTTTCCTGTTATCATTTCTAGAACAATAATTCCGTAACTGTATACATCACCCTCAGCTGAGACCTTGCATCCCAAGCCATACTCTACAATCAATATTGTGCAAGTTAATAATATTCATTAGTCAGTCAAAATATGATACAATTTTGCATCACTTCCTTGGTAGAGCTAGTGGAAACAATAGATAAAATACAAATAACAATGAAGCAAGTGCTCACCTGGTGCAATGTATCCGATTGATCCTCTTAATCCAGTAGTGCTTGATGAATTATTGAGGCTTATAAAGTTGTTGTGCAGAAACTTTGCAAGTCCAAAATCACTAATACAAGCAACCATTTCGTCATCCAAAAGAACATTGCTTGGTTTCAGATCGCAGTGAACCAAAGGAGGAGTGCATCGGTTATGAAGATAATCCAATGCAGTGGCAATGTCTCCAGCTACTCTTACCCTTGAAGCCAAACTAAACAGTTTTGGGGGGCTTTGACTGCATGGTTTTGGATGGATCCAGCTTTCGAGGTTACCATTCGCTCTATACTCAAGAATTAGTGCTTTAAACTCGTTTCCTGATGGATCAAAGGTTGAACATAAGCCAATTACTCTTACAAGATTCCGATGGCGAATGCTTTTCAGTGCCTCACATTCAGCAGAAAAACTATTGGGTGCTCCATTTTGGTCAAGTCTAAATACTTTAATTGCAACATCGCGTGCACCGAACTTCAATTGACCTTTATATACCAATCCAAATGTTCCTGAACCAACAAGACTTGTTGAAGAGAAACCATATGTTGCTTTGTACAGATCACTGTATGATATTTTATCCAAACGCCTGAACGAATGGTTAATGCCGATTCTCTCCGGTCCAGATCTCTTCTTCAGAAACATGATGGCAACACATGCCAAGGTAATCATAACAATTGTACTAACTGGAACTACCACAGTAAGAATATAGGATGTCTTCCGTTTGGCTGACAGTTCCTTGCAAAGTGGTAACTGTAACATTGGTGAACTTGCACATAACATTTTATTTCCTTGGATGAACACATCGCTAGAATTTGCAAACACGCCTCCTTTGGGAACAGGTCCCTCAAGGTTATTGAAAGATAGATTGAGAGAGCGTAAAGATCCAAAAGACTCAAAATATTTTGGGATTTCACCAGACAAGTTGTTTTGGGAAAAATCAATCTCAATTATGCCTCTTAAGTTAATTAGAGATTCCGGGATGCCTCCTTGTAGAAAATTTGCCTCCAAGCGAACTGATTCCAAAACAAGGCACTCACCAAGATTGGAGGGGATCTCACCAGATAATTGGTTGTTGGAGATATTAAGAGAATTAAGATTAATCAATCTACCAATCTCCAGTGGTATGTGCCCAGTGAGTTGATTATAGGATATGTCCAGACCTTTAGAAAGTGTAGAAATCGAAAAGAGATCTAACGGAATGCTTCCATTGAGGTTATTTCTTGAAATGTTTAGCTCAACCAAATTTGTGCATCTTGCTAAACTTGAAGGTATTTGCCCAGTTAATTCATTTTCCTGAAGATAAAGTTCAATGAGCTGCTCTAGTGTGCCTATTGATCGAGGAATTTCTCCAGAAAGCTTGTTGTGAGATAAGCTTAGGATCAGCAAGTTTGGAAGATTTGCAATTGTGCTGGGAATTTGTCCGGAGAGCATATTATTACCCATCAGAATGGCAGTGAGACCAGTGAGGTTTTCTATTTCTGAAGGTATGCTGCCAGTCAACTGGTTCTGTACTAGATTCAATATCTGTAGTCCTTTTGATAGGTTGCCAATAGAAGTGGGAAGTACTCCTTGTAGATTATTTCCACCCAACCACAAATTTTGCAGTTGGGTGCAGTTTGTTAGTGAAGACATGAAAGTCCAATCTCCAGACTCAAGCTTATTGTCACCTAGATCTAAGTCAGTCAACATGGACAAGGATCCCAATGAAGGAATAATACCAGTGAAGGAGTTGCGTCCAAAATAAATCTCTGTAAGATTCAAAGCATTGGCTAATGTAGCAGGAATTGGTCCTTCAAACTGGTTCCCATGTAGTATGAAACTAGTGAGTCTTGGAAGGGTATAGCCAATGTTGGTGGGAATTCTCCCAACAAATCGGTTGTCACCAAAATTAAGATAGGTAAGATTTGAGATTTTAAATATTCCTGGTGAAATAATTCCTGATAAGTTATTATAACTTAGATCTAGTAATTGCAAATTAGAGAGTTTTCCTAGGCTCTCTGGAATGGTCCCTTCTAAGTTGTTTCCAGAAAGCATCAACTTAGACAGGGAGAGAATGTTATCAATTGAGTTGGGAATCTCGCCAGAGATGTAATTATTAGTTAAGCAAAGGTATCGCAGAACCAAAGATGTTTTTGAGAATGGAGGAATAGTCCCGGATAGACCATTCTGTGAGAGATCTATGTAAGTTATGGTAGAGCTGTTGAAGAGAGAAGGGGGTATTTCCCCAACAAGGCTATTATTTTGGAGATTCACCCATACAAGTGTTTTGCTACTTCCCAAAAGTGGAGGAATGGTGCCAGTGAGCTCATTGTTAGGAATGAATAGTGCAGAAAGGTTGGGAAGCAAACCAATCTCCGAAGGTATGCTTCCATGAATATGGTTATTGCTAAGAATAATTTGCTGAAGAAATGAACAATGAGCAAGACTTGGAGGAATCTTACCTTCAATGGAGTTGCTATACAGATTGATGGTTTCGAGGCGAGAACATGACGATAAAGTCTCTGGTATTTCACCACTAAGTGCATTCACGCTGAGATTTAGATACCTGAGGTGTGTTAAACGGCCGATCTCAGGTGAAATGTGGCCATTGAGTTGGTTACCAGGCATGTGAATTCTGGAGATGAAACTGAGGTTAGCAACACAAGGAAATATTTGGCCGGTGATGTTTTCTGACTCGAGGTCTAATCCATCTACTCGAGCTGGAAGCCCTGTGCTGCATGTAACCCCATGCCAATCACACATCGAAACACTGGAATCATTTCTCCATGAGCCTAAAGCTCCAGAGGGGTCATGGAGCTGGGACTTGAGGCAGAGGAGAGCCTGCCTATCAGCATTGGATTCGTTGTGAAACTGAGCTGACAAGCAGAAGGGAAGGCGCAAGTTCAGGAAAAGAATGAAGGCTAGCACTAGCATCGGTGTGATGGGTTTATTGAGAGCTAAGCGAAACATTTCTTTTGATGGAATTGATGCTTGAAGACTGAACCATAACGGAAGGGTTAGCATCTATATATAGGACACCACGTATGTGTTTAGTTCACGGCAAAATTAGAAGTTTGGTTGAAATTGAAACGATGTGATGGAAAAGTTGGAAGTTTATGTGTGTAGAAAAGTTTTGATCTGATGAAAAAGTTGAAAGTTTGAAGAAAAAGCTTGCAACTAAACAAGGCCGTTTGCATTTGAAGTGAACGTTTTACAGTTCCACCATTGTTGGGAACTTCTTTTGCAACTAGAACCTTAGCAAATCTATTTCAAAATGTAGACGTAATTAAATTGTTAGAACCTGGACCTGTGAGATTAATTTGATGACGTATGTGAACACTGGCGCATGATATGGTGCCAGTGCAGACAATAGCATATAGGACGATCTTTCGTGGAATATACTCTGAGTCCCAAAATGAATGAATTTCTATGGTTTAAAATTTATCCGAATAAAACTTATCCACCTACTCCTTCATCTTATCCGATTACAAACATCCCCGTTTCTTAACCATTTTATTATCTGATGCTTTAATTTCATAATTTTTTCTTACGATTACACTACAGGCGCACAGGCGCACACACATTACTACGCATGCAAGATTATACTCACACCCCCCTCCCCGTAAATACTGCCCTAGTCTTTTGAGCCTAATTAGTCTATGATTAGCCATAAGTGTTACAGTAACCCACATGTGCTAGTGGCGGATTAATTAGGCTTAATAAATTTGTCTCGCGGTTTCCAAGCGGGTTATGAAATTAGTTTTTTCATTCGTGTCCGAAAACCTCTACCGACATCCGGTCAAACGTATGATATGACAGCCAAAAATTTTCTTTTCGCGAACTAAACACACTCTAAAAAAGTGGATGGAGGTCTATCTGATAAAAAATAATGTTCTGAAAGGCTAAATTTCATTCGGTCAAAGAAGACGGCTAGTATACCATTGGAAACCATCGCTTGACCTTGTTGGAGTCTTGAGACTTTGAAGTTATACCGGTCGTCCTGACGTCCATGTCGTGGATTCAATTGTCCAAGCTGATAGTGTAGCTATCAAAGTATCAATGCTTTCTTCTTTTTCCCTTGTACGTATTGATGCCGTTGATTTTTTTAAATATGTTTGACTGTTTGTCTTATTCAAAAAATTTAAGTAATTATTAATTCTTTTCTTATCATTTGATTCATTGTTAAATATATTTTTATGTACACATATAATTTTACATATTTCACAAAAGTTTTTAAGTAAGACGAACGATCAAACATATTTTAAAAAGTCAATAGCGTCAAACATTTAGAACATTTAGGAAGGAGGGAGTAGTATGCAGCTGTCACTGCTTGCATATTTTCCTATACGTTAGTACTATGTTTGACTGTTTTTTCATTTCCACACGGGGCACTCGTAATCAGGCCCATCTGGAGTCCCGTGTACGGCCGTAAAAGTTCGAGCCAAAAATCATGTGTTTCAATTTAAATCATTAGGTTCAAATTAAGATATCTTTATTTTTGTTACTTAGGCTGTATATTTAGATATAGAGGTGCAAAATTTTGGCATGTCACATCAGATATATGGACACATATTTGAAGTATTAAATGTACTCTAATAACAAAACAAATCCTATCTTTCTATAAAGTTAAGGCCCACTAAATCCTAAAGCTCAACATGCAAAAATGCCAAATCATCCACTAACAATTATTACATTTCAAACCTCATGCAAGCATGCTAATTTATTAAGTTATAAAGATTTAAAATGCAAACATCTTAATTAAATTCTCATTCCACATAATTCATATAATATTTCAATATATCTCTCCATCATTTTTTATAATATCCTATATGCCTATATAGTGCATCCTCACTTAAATTTTAGAGCTTTAAAAATCCAAGCATGTTAAATCATCATTCCACATAATTCTAAAAATATCTCTCCATCATTTTGTATAATATATATATACCTATACAATTCATCCTCACTTAGTTAATGCTATTTCTCTCTTCTCTCATTATGCCATATCACCTCAATTGTTTCTATCCCTCCAATGATTAATCTATGATCAGAATTATCTTCCTCATTTTCTTCTCTCGTAAATCCACATCATTATACTTTTACATTTAGATCATCATTCTATATACTATTTAAATTATGATAAACCACATCAACTTATTGAAGTTTCTGTCGTCTAGCTATCTTACACATTATTTCTATTTATTATTAACATACCAAACTCCCGCAGCAAAGCGTGTGGTTTCATCTAGTTACAGAATCCGCCTGTAAACCAAGAGAAGAATTTATTAAGCCTAATTAATCTATCATTAGCAAATGTTTACTGTAGCACCACATTGTCAAATCATGGCGTAATTAGGCTTAAAAGATTTAAAAGATTCGTCTCGTAATTAACACGCAAACTGTGTAATTTGTTATTTTTTCGTCTATATTTAATACTCCATGGATGTGTCGAGACATTCGATGTGATAGGGTGTAAAATTTTGCCAGGTGTAACACCCTGAAAATTTGACCACAAAAAATCTAAACTCTAAAAATACGGATTTTTCAAAAACTTTTTAAATTAATTGCATCATGCCGATCTTATTCGCCTATTTTATTTGGATTTGATCTTGAAGTTTATTAATTGTGAGTAAAGAATAGTTAATTAGGAATAAACCTTAAAAAAAACAAATTGGTAAAATAAATATAAATTAAAATAAAGATTAGTTGTGGATAGGAATAAATAAAATATTATCGCGACCATATTTGGATCAATTAAATTTAAATACGATGGAATAAGAATTAACCCTAATTAAAAATTCAAATAAATTATATAAAAATAAATATGAGTAATATTAATCTAGGGAGAATTCATTAGTTGAGATAACACAAATATTGAGTAAAATGCATATATGCAAAAATTAGGAATTGTGGAATCAAATTTATATGGGAAATACCCTAAAATCGGGATAAATAGGAAAAGTCACTATTCATTGCCCCCTAGGTGTTCGACCGCGTTCCCTAGCCCTAGCCCCTCCTCTGCCGCGTTGCCCTCGCGCCCCGCGCACCGTGCGCCGCTCCACCTCCCCTCTACCATCGCCGTCGCCATCACCGCGCGTGCCGCCGTCGCCTCGCCTCCCGCCCGTCGCCATCGCCGCCTGCCGCCGCGCCGACGTCGCCGAGCCGCCCCGAGCCCACGCCGACATCGCCACCCCCATGCCGTGAGTGCTGTCGTCCCGTTGCCGCGTCGCCTCGAGCCCCGCGCAGCCGTCCCTTCGCCGCGTCGCCGCCCGTCGCCGTCAAGCCCGCGCCGCGCCGCGCCGCGCCGTCATATCGTCGCTGTCATGCCATGCCGTCGTGTCGCCGCCCATCGCATCCCGCCCCGAGCCGCGCGCCACCGCTGTCACCGTCGCCATCGATGTCCCGTCGCCGCGCGCGTCCCATCGCCGCTGCCGCGCCGCGCGCCATCTCGTCGCCTCGCGCCGCCGTCGTTTCACCCTTCCCCCTCCTTCCCCTCTCTTTCTTCCCCTCTCCCCTATAAAAACCCCGGCCCAATCCCCCTTCTCCACCCCACTCCATTCCCTCCTCCTCTCCCTCTTCCCCTTCTCCACGTGCCGCCGTCGTTGCGCCGCCCGCCGCCACCTTCGAAGCCGCCGCGCCGTCGCCCCGGAGCCGCCGCGCCATGCGTCGCCGCCTTGCGCCGCCGTCGCCGTCGTCGCCGCCGGTGAGCCGTCTCCCCCCTCCACCTCGCGCCCACCGCCGTCGCCGCCCGGGGAAGCAAAGAGCCGAGAGAGAGAGAGAGAGATAGAAAGAAGCCGGGAGGGAGGAGAGAAAAAGAAAAGAGAGGAAAGGAGGAAGTAGCCGGGAGAGAAGAAAGAAAAGAAAGGAGAAAGAAAAAGAGAAAAAGAAAAGAAAAAGAAAGGGAGAAAAAGAAAAAAGGAAATAAATAGGAAATTAGAGGGAGATTAGGGAAGTTTAGAAAATTTAAAATAATTGGAATTTAATTATAGATTAATTATAGTCGTAGAATTGCAAAATTTAATATAAATTATGGATTATTCTTGGCAATTTCTATAAGAAATCGATTCACGGTAATAATTTAGATGTAGTTAATAACTAAACAAATAGATGAATTCTTATGGATTATTATAGATTATTTATGGGTAATCCCTATAAGTAATCGATTCACGGTAGAAATTCGGATTTAACTACTAGGGATTTTACCCGTGTATTATATTTAATCATTTAGTCATAGACTAAATTAAATCGTATAATATTTCTAGGATTCCGTCCAATATTTAGCTCGCGATAGAAATTTCTAACCTATTATATGGATATAATGCTCGGGTAGATTAAATTAAAAACTTATGATAACAAAATATTTATACCCGCAAAATAGTTTGAATCGAAATTGGGTTTGCCTTAGTTCGCGAATAATAAAGTTAATATAAAGAAATCGACTTTCGCATTCGACTTTCATTTGGATTCATTTGGATTTTTATTTGAATTCTAACCGAATTCAAATCAATTTTCGCACGTAACTATAGAGCCCGAGGGAGTTGCGGATCCAAGCGAAGGTCAAGACCCGCAAGACATTGAGCAAGGCAAGTCAGCACTATTCCTTGATCATGTTGATCCCAATTGTGAAATTGTTTTGTTTACAAATAAAATTGCATGCAATGATGAACATCCTACTTGTGATTATGCCATGCCTTGATTATTGTTTGCCCCTTATTCCTTCGTAACCATGTTTACGTATGAGTCCCTAGTCAACTATAACAAATGCTTAGAAATGCTATTCTAGAATCATGCATACTCATATTTGTCAAATGCTATATGCTTGGGCAATTATCTTTGGGAAGGTAATTGAGATGTGGCATGTGGAGACATGAGCGCCACATTGCCATGATATTGAGGACATGATTTGTGAAAGGAGAAATAAACTAAATAACTGTTTTCGATTGGGCAGACGGAGGATTTGGGTGGTATCTGGAAAAGGCTAGTACCGTCCCCGGTCAATTA